AGTTCATGGAACAGAGGAGTCTGAAATGCCAGTTTTATAAAGTTCTTAAAACTGACCGCAAAGATATCAACATAGACGCTGAACTGCCATCCTGTGTCGTTTGCCCCAGCGAATCTGACCTAGCTTGCCCGGGTGGCAGGTGAGTCCAGCTGAAGACTGTTTCTAGTTAACCGCCCTGATGGTCCAGGGAGACATCTGCATGTTTCCTGCACTGGTTTGTTTCAGAGAATACTGTGCAACCCAACTCCTCCTTGCAGATCTATCATTTTAGAAAGTATCCAACTTTGCTTTCTAGCTAAAACTGTTCCATTAATGAACTACCAAAGGGGCTAGGGAGATCACCCCAAGAAATAAAGATTAGAGTTTGGACCTCCAGAACCCAGGCAAATGCCCCTGCTATACCATCCCTCTGGCAATACACCTCTCCCTGGGTCACCAAGAGCAAGCAGAGGGACCTGCTGGTTCAGAACAGAGTTTCCCCAGGGATTAATCAGCTTCTCCTGGGAGATGCGGACACCTGGTCACCCTATATAGGGCACCAACAACAGACTGAAGAAACAACCCCACTCTCGTCCAGCTTGGTGAACCAGTGGGTTTATTGGTGCTCCTCACAGGAGCCTGGGTCAGCTTTCTGAGTGAAAAGCCCACCCTAGCACAGATATGGCAGAGTCCGTGGTGCTCCTTGGACAACTTGAAGTCAGTTCCACTCAAACACTCCCCTCTACAGCAGTTGTTTCCTGCTTATGTAACCTCGGGCAGAGACCTATGAATCTCGTAGCTTCTTTTCGCCCTGAGAGGATGCTTCAGTTTGGAGGTGGCAGTTACACAACACTGGGGCATCGCTCCAGCCTCCTGACCCTTGCTTAGGTCAAGCTGAGTAGTTTCGTGGACAGATGTGTCCTCCCAGACAGGCAGAGTCAAATCCCTCTCATGCTTGTGTTTCTGGGTTCCATCTCTGGCTTCTTGGCAAGTGAATGACTTTCTCCAGTCTTCTTCAGTGCATCCCAGCGTGCCTAGGGACACATATGCAAATCGAGTTTCAGCATCAGCCTGAGGACCTGACAGGGAGTATGCCTCGGACTTTCCCAAGCTCTGAATCATCGACATGTCTGCTGGATAGTTTTGTGCAGTGAGAACTGTCCCATGTCTCAAAGATGGCCAGCTGTACCCTGGTCCTGTCTTCTGGAAGCCCACAGTACCTTCTGTCCTGGCTGTGATAACAGAATAATGTCTCCAGGACTGGCCCCTGGAGGAAAAATCTTTCCAGATTGAGTAAGCCACTGAGTAACCTGACCTGAGAGAACAGCTGTGTCGCCTTCCGGATATAAGAGTGAACCACTTTCACCAGCATGGGGATGACCCTGCTGCTGTTTCCTGTTGTCTCACACTCCTCCTGTAGCCCAGCGTTATTTTCTGAGCATAAACCTAACCCTACCAGGCACCATAGACAAGCCAGGGAACTCCAAGGTGTGGTTCCTACCCCCAGAAGTGCACAGTTACTCTGGTGAGGCGGGACCGATTCCTGCATCAGGAGCAATCGAGGCAGCCATGAGTATGGCTGAGTCAAGTGGAGGCCTCCCCAGAGCAAAGGAGCAATGGACCAGCAGCAGAAGGAATCAGAAGCAACCGAGTCCAGAGAAGAGGAACAAGCAGGCAAGGCTGAGTCAGGCAGATGTCATGCAGGTGATGCTGTGGACATCTTCAGGGGTTGGCATAGTAGAGCCAGGTCTGAGCTGGGGAATGGAGGACAGGTAGGCACTGCCAGTGGGATTGGGGAGGGCAAACACTTGAAGGCTAGACAGATGGTGTGGGAAGGGTGCAGGGCTGCATGCAGAGTTGTTCTGGTACATACAGAGGGGCTGAGAATCCGCAAGGGCTCAGCAAGTGAAATGAGTAAGACATTTATTAGGGCTCATGGCCACCTGCCACAAATCCAGCAACCTTCTAGAACCAATCAGTCCCATGCTCAGAGCTGCAGGATCCTCTGAGACCTTCACCTGTCTCCTGGGAGCTGTCACAGGGAGCTGTGACTCAGGGCCTCCCCCACTCAGGTGAATCACACACCTGCAGCCCTCTGGCGCTAAGAACTGCTCCTGAGCTGTCACCTGTAGCCACCACAGTCCCCTCAGAGCACCAGGTTCCGTCCACCCTTGCTTTGTGTGACACCTTCTCATGCTGAAGTACTGCTTCTTGCTACAGTGGGCATTCCACACACTGCAAATGTAACTCTTCTACAGAAAACCCAGCGTGTCACATGACCTATCGGATCTTCTGACCAGTCCCAGTAGGGGACTAGTTTCACCTGACATGGAGTCCAGAGATGTGACATGGTTTCATGTCTCTCTCCTCCCTCTTCTCCACCTGTTCTCAGGAACTACAATAGCAGTGAGTTCCCTAGGGGATCAGTATAAAATGGCCACCTCTTCAGGACTGGTGTCTATGACTGACTCAGAACTAACAGGAAAGGAGGTCGGATATGGTCTCCTAGCTGCCAGAGGCCCAGTCCCGCTGCCAGGCACTCCATCACCTCTTCCCTGATGTCCTGGAGGATATGCTGATATGCATTCAGGAGGCCTTGGTTGACCAGTAGTCCCTACCATAGTCCGTGCGGCAGGACAAAGGCTGCCTTCAATAGTATGTTTGGGTAAGAGGATTGTAGGACAACTTCAAGCCAACCGAAGGGCAGACATGTTACAAAGGAGCACTGGGGCTCTAAAGGCTACTGAGTGGGTCAGAGTGCCGCCACATTGTCCAATGGGCTAGGCAGTTCCAGGAGTGTCCACTACTAATTTAGTCCCTGACACTGTCTGACAAGTGTTGCTTACTCAAGCCTACCCTTGGCTGCACTCTGGGAAGAAGCTGATCAGAGCTCTGAGCTCCAACCAGTCAGGGTAGGCAGCATAGGTAGATGATATGAAGTACCATTGCCACTGGCAAAGAAACGAAAACCCAACCCCAAAGTCAGGGCCACCGCAGACAGCCCCAAAGCTTGTATCCTATATACCAGGACCACAGTGTCCATCCTGCACAGCTCTTATTGAAGCACACTACCTTGGTCTGAGTGGGATTTCCTAATTTGCACTGGTATCCATCCAGTCAGTCCCAGTGAGCACAAGAGCCCAGGCTTGCCATCGGCTCTCTGTGTCTTCAGACCCATCCCTGAGAGAAGATGCAGGCATACAGACCCCTTGGACACCAACTAACTCTGGATCCCATGCAGTACCATCTGTCCAAACAGGGTGAAGAGTGCTGGGGCTGAGGAATGTGCCCTGGAAAGCCTATACCCCTTCCCCGACTCCTGGTCCTGAGCCTGACACCTGCAGTCTGGAAAGTCCTGTTAGATAGACAGAGCTCCAGACAAAGCCTACAGCAGATGGAATCACCAAATGTGCATCCCTAGCCTGTACCCCCCACAGCACCTCACTCTGTCTTCCCCCATATCCTTAGTCATGGAGTGATAAGGTGTACCTGAGCTTCAGGGAGGGACAGAGAGAGCTTGGCTGGGCATGCTGTGTGCACTTTTCTATAACAACAAAAGAGGAAGGGCAGCCATGAACATCTTTTATGCTCTCTGCCTCGGACTCCACGAGTGACAGACAGGCTAAACCCCCCATCTATAGAGACTAGCAACTTTTCCTGTCACCAGTGATGGCCAGCCACAGTGCTGAAAGAAAGAGATGGAATGACATTACTGAGAACTGTGTATTAATGTAAAGGGCAGCTTTGCCCAGCTCTTCCCCTGGGAGTTGAGAAATCCCACTCTCCTTGTGTTTCCCAAGCCCTATCCACGTAGTCTCTCCCACTCAGGGGCCCAGACTCAAGGTCATGAAAGTTCTGCAAAGGTCTACAAGCTCTGTGTTGCCCTCCTGAAGGCCCATGACAACTGTCTCCTCCTGCCCACATGCCTTCCCCTACTTCATGAGCCTGGTATCTCAGAAGGCCTCTCCAAGTGCTGTGATCCCAATACACCTTGGCTGCTGCCCTGTGGTGGCCAGAAGTGGGCTCTGGGAAGAGAGATGCTCTTCTTAATGGCCCTCCTCTCTCTCGCTTCTTTCATTCTATTCTCTCCACCTTCTCCTCTGTTCCTTGTCCCTTGGATGCCTGTGATCTGTTTCCCCTCCATATCCCTGTCCCTCTCCCAGACTATGTAGGCCCCACCTGTTGGCTCCCACAAGGCTCAGGGATGCTGCTGACAGTGCAGTCAGATGGGAGCCAGGAGGGAAGTGCACAAATGGGTATCTGAAACTGAAGTGTCTGGCCTGGTACCAAGGAGCCTGGGAAAGGCAAGCATGGTGAGGGCAGCCAAAAGCCCTGGGAAAAGCTATGAAGGATGGGAAGTAGATATTGGGGCTGGGAGATGTCGCTCAAATCACCATCCAGGAACTTTGCCTTCTCCAGAGCCTTAGCTCCTGGGCCCAGCCTGCATCTCCTTTCCAGCCACCAGAGTGCATGCCATGGTCCAAACTCAAATGGCCCGCTCTTCCCGGGCTGGTGCTCCATCTCCTTCCTGGGGTGTGCTTTTCCCCTTCTCTGCCTGGCAAGTGCCTCTGTAGCCCATTCAGGAAGGTGCCACAGGTGCCACCACACCCACAAAGCCTGCTCTGACTCCCTGTCACATCAGGAGCCTTTAGGGTCACCCCCAGAAACACTGACAACATGGAGCTCTAATAACTTCATATTGCCCCCCTCCCTGGTTCCCGAACGAGCCAGTAACATCTTATCCCCAGTGCCTGGCATTTGGCATCCAGTAGTGTCCACTCAAGTCTGGATGGGTAGTTGGATTCTTGGGCTGTCCGTAGACCAGTAAGCAGAGGGGCGAGTGGGAAATTTGGTGGTGGTAGTCAACAGGGGTTGTCATGTCCAGAGTGTGGGTAAAAAGAGGAGGATGGGGATGATAGGAGTCCTGGCAGGTACCCCGGCCACCTCCCTCATCTTTGTAGAGGCGTTTGTCACAGGGGAGCCCTGGATCCCAGGGTGACCATTCCTCTCCTTGCTCCTAGTATTTCTGCCTGTTGCTGGTCATCTTCCTGGTGGAGCTGGTGGCAGGAGTCCTGGCACATGTGTACTACCAGAGGGTAAGTACAAGGTCTGTCGGTGCCTGAGAAGTCACAGCTAGATGCTGGGATTCCTGCTGCCCTAGTGGCCGGCAGGTGTCTAGATCAGGACTACTTCTGCACCCCATCTTCTGCACCCCAGTTTCCTGTCCCAGGTCCAGCAGATCTCTCTGCCTCTGCTGGTACTGATGGGTTCCATGGGGGAACCTGGGTGGGAGTTTCTCGGGGAGGCTAGTTCATCCTTCTCCCCTCCAGGGATCCCTAAAAGGAACCCACTTGCTAGGACAGCCACTGAGAAGGGAGCAGAAAGGGTCACTGGCTGGCAGACTAAAGACCCGAGTGAGTCCTGCCTACCTGGATGGGTGAGGGGATCTCTCTTCCCATGCTTATGGCTTCAGGTTCAGGATTTGAAGGCAAGGTTGGGGTGGCTTTGGGCTGGAACAGACAGCATGTCCCAACAAGCGGGTCATTTGAAGAGTGTGCACCCAGTTGCCCAAGGTCACAAGTGCCTGCACATTGCACCTCCCATAGTAATCAAAGTTCGAATCCACAGCAAGTTGAAGGCAGCTCCCACGTGACCCAGTATGAGCCATGTCATCCTCACTCATGCCAGCTCACAGCACTGTCTTAGTCAATATGGTGCCCTGACGACAGGTGGAGAGGAGGAGGAGACACCTGGGTCCTAGAGGAAGCCTGGGGGGGGGGCTGCTGACACTCCTTCATGCCCCCCTCCCCAGCTGAGTGACGAGCTAAAGCAGCACCTGAACAGCACCCTGACTGAGCACTACGGGCAGCCGTGGGCCGCAGACATCACAGCCTCGGTGGACCGGCTGCAGCAGGATGTAAGCCACACAGAGAGATGCAGGTGTACTTCTTGTCTCTGTCCGTCTCCCCCAGTCTGCGTGACCCCGGGACAGTTTACTCACCCTCTCTGAGCCCCTGTTGCACACCCCTAATCTAAGCCGTATAGTGCAGGGTACCATGATGGTGATCACCGCATAGTGCAGGGTACCGTGATGGTGATCACCGCATAGTGCAGGGTACCGTGATGGTGATCACCGCATAGTGCAGGGTACCGTGATGGTGATCACCGCATAGTGCAGGGTACCGTGATGGTGATCACCGCATAGTGCAGGGTACCGTGATGGTGATCACCGCATAGTGCAGGGTACCGTGATGGTGATCACTGCTAGATGTGGCTCTCCCCTGACACCGTAGAAAGTAGTCAAGGAACCCTGGCTTCCCCCACACTCCTTTTCTACTCTGTCTAAACCCCATCCCTGCTGCCCTCCAGGTTGGGTCCACAGAGGCAGACAGCTGCTCTCAGGTCCTCCTGCCTATTCCATCCTTCTTTGGAGAGATGGGCACCAAGGCCCCAGCGTTCTATGCCAAGCCACTGTGGCTCAGTAAGAAAAATTTTCTGGCTGTGAGCCATTGAACAGCATGTAAGGAACAAGAAGATGCCTTGTTTGCAAGTAGATTCAGTAAAGCCCCAAGAAAATGACTAAGGGCACGTGTGTACACACAGGTACACATGGCACATGTAGTCATGCCCGTGTGCTCAGCCCAGTGGCAGGGAAGGGCCCACCCACACAGTTGGTCATCCGTTGCAAGCACCATGCACCTGCCGGGTCCTATGTGTAGGGAGCTGTGTGAGACAAAGGGGTAGGGCAGAAGCCTTGGCTAGGGGGGTCTCACTCATGGAACTGTGGACAACAGGTGACACCAAGCAGTTTTTCCGGGGCACCTCAGATTACAGTAAGGCAGGTGGGACTGGACTTGGCCTGTAGGAGGGCAGGGCTTGCCTAAGTGGGAGGTAGGCAAACACAGGAAAGGGTCAGCTTAAAGCAAAGCCTGCCACTGACCCGACTCCATGGCATCAATGTGTGTAACGCAGGCCTCTCCCAAGCTGGGGCAGTTAGTGTCCCAGCCAGCACCCAGGTAGGAAGGACTGAGCCTGAGACAGTGGTGGATCAGAGCCAGGGCCACGTGTATATAAACGACACACCTGCACACGGACCACTCCTCACACAAAGAGGATGGTGACAGTTGTGCTTCAGCATCTGCTGGCTCTGTGCAAATGCTAAGTGCTCTCCAAGCACCCACACTGTCCATCCATACACATCCCCACTGCAGAGCCTACTTCCCCATTTTATAAGTGAGGTAGCAGCCCAGGGGCACCAAGACACACACACACACACACACACACACAGAGTGACACACAGTGCACAACTGCATGTGACGATCAGCACAGCCCACCCCAGGGATCGCTTCGTGTGTGCTCTCATAAACTGTGCTCATGCTCTCATCAGTTTTATCACGTGTGTGCTCTGAGTGTGATGTCATGTAGTGTCCATGCTCTCTCTGCTCCCGCTGTTATGTTGTGTGCGTGTTGCGCTCCAGCTGTTATGACACGTGTATGCTCCGATCTTGTGGTTACATTCTGCACGCCCTATGGGTGCTCTCTCATGTTGTGAGCGTGTTCAGTGTGCAGAGTTATGTGCAGGCTCTCTGCTCACACTTACAGGATTTGCTGACCCCAGACTACTTCCCCTTCCTCCTCTGTGTCCCTCTCAGGGACAGTAACATGGTAAGCTAAGAGCCAGGTCCTCCGCCTCAGTCCTGGCATGTAGGTGGCTAACATTTGAATCAAATGTCCCTGCACCCATACCCAGGCACAGACTCGGTGCAGCTGTGTCACATACCTTGTACAAGGTCTTAGGATCTCAATGTCTTGACTCACAGAGGGGAGGAGTGGCCAACATTTGTTCTTTGAGCCACCCTGGGCGTGGTAAAGTGCAGACTTGGATTTTCCTTGGCATTCAGGCAATCTCTGTGGTCAGTACTGACTGGCCTGTGTTCTGCCTGGCCTCTGGGACACACTCCATGCCCCTCTTCTAGTCTTGGGGCTCTGAACTTCAAAGCCCAAATAGGGATCCTAAAACCTCCAGCAAGTTGGGTCCTTGTCCCCAGGTTCTACCTCCTGGATGACAGGTAATATCTCCCTTGTGATTTCCCCCTGACCTGGACCCTGGCTGTACACCCTAATGGCACCCAACCTCACAAATGTGAAAGCTCCACATCTGTCTGCCTCCCAATCTCACAAACAATCCCTACCCCTAGAACACTTGGCACAAGGCAGCCAACGGGTGTCCTGCAGAGACCTATAGGTCCCAGAGAAAACCTCTCCTTCTCCAAAGGGACAGAGGAGAGGGACTATAAAACCTGAATTGTGGTCCTGAACCACAGGGGTGGGAACCCCACACAGACCCTCTCACTCCAGCTTCGTCTCCTCCTCCCAGTTCAAATGCTGCGGCAGTAACAGCTCGGCCGACTGGCAGCACAGCACATACATCTTATCTCAGGAAGCCCAGGGTCGCCGGGTGCCCGACAGCTGCTGCAAGACAGTGGTGGTGCACTGTGGCCAGCGGGCCCACCCCTCCAACATCTACAAGGTAGAGGTAAGTGCTGAGACAGTCTAGGGCCTAGGGAATGACCCACACACAGAGAGAGAAAGTCCAGCTCAGCAGGCAGGTGTGGGAAAGTAAAGCACAAGCTTTTGGCCTGAAATCACAGAGCCTGGGGCACTCCAAGACCTGACAGAATACTAAGAACTAACAGGTCCTCCTGGCAGTCTCGGACACAGTGGCCTGTCCCCTGGGGATCTCAAAATGGCCAGGAGAAATTCCAAGGTTGGCATCCCCCAGTCTCAGGTGCGCGCAGGATGACAGCCATTCATCTCCCCGCTCCCCCTGCCTGTTGCCAGGCTAAGGCTGAGTAACCCATGTCCACCTTGCAGGGGGGCTGCATGGCCAAGCTGGAGCAGTTCCTGGCTGACCACCTGCTGCTCATGGGCGCAGTGGGCATCGGGGTGGCCTGTCTTCAGGTAAGTGGAGTAGGGGTTGCCTCCCTCCAGCTAAAGTCTCAGACACCTGTCTCCAAGAAAGTAGCTGATGCTTTGTACATGCATGTCCGGCCCTGCTAAACCCTTGTCCCCCCTGTCCCTCTTCCCTTTGCAACCAAGGATGAACCACATTGTTGGTCTCAATCCTCATAGGGCCTTGAACAACTTGAGTGTAGGATCAGGTATGTAGCATGTTTCCTGTGTGCACAGCACAGCCTGCTGGGTTTGTGAACATCTTTGACTGGCTGCATGTGTCTGTGTGTACATGATACAGAGTGCATGTGCGTGTGTGTGTTTAAATTGTCTGTGTAAATATGCATGCATGTACCTGACATCATTGCTTGTGTGTACATGTATGATTCCAGGAAGATATGCCCATCTCCCTGAGGATGAGCAAAGCTACACTCTGCTCTCAATAGCTCTCCTTACATGACCCTCCTCTAACTTCCATCCAAGAAGTGAGCCTCAGTCCCATTATTTGCTCCAAACAAGGGACCTTAGGAGAGGAGCTGGGAGGGAATCCTCGGGGACTGAACGGGCACAGAAGGTTGGTCCTCCCTTATATATGCTCCTGCTTCTATCTGATGGTGGTGGCTGCCCTTCTAGGAGGACCCAGGCTTCCTGCTGCCCTGCTCTGTACCTCCCATCCCAGTGCTGTAAAGGGAACTGCCCTAGAAAGGCACTGACCAGGCCTGGTCCACCTCTGTCCATTTCTTCCTGGCCTTGGTCTGCAGAGATTGTAGCCAAAGGTAATGAGCCTGCGGGCCTAGCACAGGGCTACAAATGCTTACAGCCCAAAGTCAGAGCAGATCAGTGCTGCTGTGTAAGTCTAATGTCCAAGGGTCAGGCCCCTGGCAGGCAACGTGCCTGTAGGCCATGACACCTCCTCATACTATGACTCTGCATCTCACCCCTTGCCCAGGTTGCTCCCTTGTGGTTGACTGAGCAGAGGCTGGTAATGGCCAAGCCTCGGTTAGAGTGCCCTCTACTGGCCAGAGATGGACATTCATCTGCCTTGAGAAAGGGCCCAAATCAGCCCTTCTCTTCCCCAGACACCAGACCTACACATACACACACACACACACACACACACACACACACAAACACACACACACACACACACACACACACACAAGCATGCACCAAGGTCAGGAGATCATCCTAAGATGGTGTCCTTTGGTTTCTTTAGGATAGACAGACCAAACAAATTTTTTAAAGCAGCAGCCAATGGACTTTTGCCACATAAGAGACTGGTCTGTTAGGCCCAGAAGGCCGAGCTGTTGGCATCTAAACAGGAGGAATATAAGGGCCACCACTCACTGCTCCCATGACCCTGAGGTAGAGTTCCCTGAACAGTTTGGAATCTGTTGCCCTGTCCCATCCCTTAGCAACCTTAGGCTTCTGTGGCCTGGAGATTCTGCTAAGTTTCCTATCTCACTGACCAACCTTAGCCAGATGCATTGTGAACTCCAGAAACTAGGCAGGAAGTACCGGGCTGCCCACTCTGATCTCAGCCAGGTGTCTGGTGGCCTGCCCATCACTGCCTCACGGACATGTCAACTGAGTTGTTGCTCAGGGAAAATGATGCCATGTGTGCTCAGGAGAGATTATTACCTTGGCCACATGTAGAATCCCTGAGCAAATGTTTGGACTCACCCAAGGCCCAGAGCTGTACTCTAGTACATGTACATACCGTGGCCAGACCTCGGTATATCTTCAGACTCCCCAGATTTCAGGGACTCCAGAGATGACTGCGCTAGAAATAAAGTAGGGGGTGGGAGAAGAAAGTCGCGTGGGACTTTCCCTGCGAGTCTAGCAGCAAGGTGGGAACTACGGCTAGAATTACAAAGAGCCCATCAGAAGCCTCTGACTGCAAATGGAATGGCCCCACAGCGGCCTTCACAGAGTGCCGTCTCGGTGGGTGATTGCACGATGGGGCAGAGGCTGAGTGGCAGGGAGGAGCCGCTCCGCTCAGAGAGGTTGTCCTCTGGGAACGCACCTGTGTGGCCCACACACCACGGGGCCGGTCAGGCTATCAAACCTGTGCTCACTGGGGCGGAGGGCTGCTGGGCCCCCATCTTATTCAGGTACACTGAACATGACCAACTGGTCCGAGAGATGGAAAGTCGCTCGCCGAAGATCACACAGCCACGGCGGCAGAGCCAACCAGGCCTCCTATTCCTGGTACTCTTTCTTTTCCACCAGCTTCCCCTCCTGTGGGTGGCTCTCCACCCAGGCATAATCTTAGGAAGTAATTTATAGAATATTCTAGCTGGGAAACTTTAAAAAGGTTATAGTAGCCGGGAGCCCAGGGATTTTTTTTTTTTTTTTGTCCTCACACACACAGGAGGCACCTCCCACCCAGGGGACACTCTGAGAAGGCTGGGGACATTGGCTTTGTAGCAGGCCGTGCTCTACACGTGGAAGGCAGGTGTGGGGGCTTTCACCTCTGTGGGGGAGGGGGTAGATGAGTAAGCTGGACATTGCCCAGCAGTGAGTCAGTGTGCGCCTGTGCATTGGATTCATGGGAGAAAATGAAAGCTGTTTTGGCCATTCCTGAGGCCAGGGAAACCTCCTGGGGAGGTGATGGTTACTAAGTTCTGAGGGGGGTTGACAAGAAACAATGGGGAATAGCTACCGAGTGGATAGGAAGTCAGGGGCAGCACGTGGAAGGACCTGACTGGCTCACGTGGTCAGTCTGAGTCCGCAGGCCCTGCTAGCCTCTCTCAGACTCAGATGTGAGAGGGTGAAAGACCCGCGGAGAGCCTGGACCCTCACACCCCGACTCAGGAAAGGCGGCCCCCCCCCAAATCACTCACGAGAAGCGGTCTTGATGCAAAAGCATGAGGGCTTTTATATTCCAGTGCACTGGGGTCCACACCATACTCCACGTGGGGTAGAGGACTGGGAATCCTGGGTACAGGGTTCAGACAGCTTTTATAGGGTTACAACAAAGCCCGCGCATCACAAACCATTTCATAGCATCCAGTGCAGACCAATCAATTTTAACTATCCAAGCCCGAGCTTAGCCCAGGAAGTCTGCTTTCGCTAGGGCTTCTGGGTAGTGTGGCACGGTTCATTTCCTGTTCTCATTCACTCACAGGTGCTGTTGGTAAACCGCCCTGTCCTAAACAGTCAAGAATGACCTTTTGCCTACTCACTGCTAGGGGGCAGAGTCTAGGGAGAATTAGGCTAAATTTTTCCATCCTTACAAGGGGCTTGGTTCTAACAAGGGAAGAATTTGCCTACCAGGACAGGCTTGTAAGCACTCCGAGGTCACACAGCCTGTAGGTGCCCAGCTGAAATAAAGCCTAACTTGGCAGCCCACAAGTAGAATGCTAATGCGTTTTAGAGCCTAGAAAACAGGTGAGCCTGGGATTGCAGGTTATTAAAAGGTGAAGGGACAGGTCATGTGGGCCGTGCCAGGCTTTTTTTTTTTTTTTGTGCTGTCCAAAGACCACTGGGTGTTTGTTGAAAAGCCTCGCAAGAAACCAAGAGCGTTGTAGCCTCCCTGTTAAAAATGCCAGTGTGCGGTCAAGTGCTGTACCCAGCAGCTCCTCCAGGGATCCCTGTGCCCTGGGCAAGTGGAGCTGGTGGCAGGAGCCAAACCCAAGAGATAGGTTACCCTCCACTATGCTGTACTCTCTCCACAAATTTCTCTGTGTTGTTTCATGTCGCTGTGTTGGCTGCGTAGATCATCCACACTGGCTTCTCTGTGTCCTTTCCCAAAAGGGAGACACTGATACTCACCTGGGGCCTAGAGACTGCTGTCCATTAACCTCTGCACACTTCAGGGTGGATATGCATGCACGAGTGTGTGTGTGTGTGTGTGTGTGTGTGTGTGTGTGTGTCAGAGAGAGAGAGATTGATCAAATCATGCAATTCAGGATGAAGAGCATGTGTATGTATACATGCCTATGTGGACCCAGGTACACATTAATAAGTGTACCCTTCCGCAGAGTTCTGGGTGAATTATGTAGTCACATGCATATGTGTTTTGCATGGACTGATGGGAATATCTACCCCATGCACTTGCTATGACTGTTAAAGAAACCCGTTCTAAATACATAGTGCAAGTCAGGGAGCTTAACTCCTGCAAGACCATCTAGAGTGAATTGTAGGCTAAGGAGCCGTGGATACAGCCTACAACACACATAGACCAGTCCAAGAAGTCCCTCCCACCTGCCCCTCTGTGTGCATCAGAAAACCCCTGATAACCCATGAGAAAAGCATCCAACCATGAGATGGAGAGAGGAGCATGCCACAACCCCGGGGTGCATGTCTGTGAACTGCTGTGACTGTGCCTGCTTAAATCCAGGGGTGAGATGACCTCCCAAGCTGCCTGTGGGCTTCTGAGTCTGAGTCCCAGAGGTGGATTTCAAGGCTCTTAGCACTGAGGCTGAAGCTGAAAGCAGCAGGTAGCCCCGGCTATTCACCCTGCTGGACCTGGGCCGGGGGAGTTGTAAGGAAGGTGAAGAGGTAACCCTGTCCTTGATGAGCAGAAGATAACTTGACGAGGCTAGGCAGATGCTCAGGCTAGTCTCGTCTTCATGGGTCTAGTCCTACCCTGGCTGGAGCTCCATTTGTACCCAGGCCTGCACAGTCAAGGCCAGGTCTGTAGAAAAAGCCAGGGCAAGACAGGACTCATATAGCACTCACCTTCATCCCTGTGTGACAGTTGTGGGACTGCCCTGTCACAGGCTCCTGTCCTGCACACAGAGTGGAAACCAAGTATGACACCGTCACCATCAGGATCAGGAGGACAAGAATGGGGCATCTTGTTCTGTCACAACCTTGTCTCCTTGTCCTCAAGGCATCCCTGGATGGGAAGGAGGAGGGGGGAAAGGGCAGCTTCGGGGATGGGAGAGCAAAGGCTGGAGAATGCAGTTCCTCGGTAGCTTGGGAACTGTACAGGAGACTGGGCAGGTGGGATCCCCTGTGTTCTTGTTCAGCCATGGATTTAGTAGGGGTACTGGCAGGTACAATGCCAGAGTCCCCACACTGAACTCATAAGGGACACTGAGCACTCCTTCCACAACTGTGGTGGCTTTGGTTTGGTTCTGGAGCCCTCGGGCAGCAGGAAGCAGAGATGCTTCGGGCAGCTCTGGTATAAGTGGCAATGTTCTCACAGAAGAGCTGGATAAGCAGAGCTGTCTATGGAGAACCTCTAGGCCCACAGGTCAGTAGCCAGGCTGGGTGTGTTCTGAGAAGGAAGCAGCCACTGGGCCCCAACCCAGACCCACAGGACTGACATGTGTTGTGTAACCAGGTTTCTCATGATTGGAGCCTGTTCTAGCACAGAAGTCATACCCTCTGGGGAGCCCTTCTCAGAACTTCCCCAGCCCTCACACCATATCAGCATCTCCTGAAGTCCTGTGAGAAAAAGCAGACCCTTGGGTGTAGCTCTCCAGCCCTCTCCAGTGTGAGCAACTGCCTCCCAGCATTCTGTGGGGTTCTCATGTCCCTTTGCTCTCTGTTCTCTCCATCTGGCAGATCTGCGGGATGGTTCTCACCTGCTGCTTGCACCGAAGGCTCCAGAAACACTTTTATTAAAGGATGTCCCTCTAGCCTGCTGACTGCCCCCACAAAAGGACCCACATCCCCAAACCCTGAACCAGGCCTGCAAAGTCAGCAGTTGGATCATAGACCCGCCCCCCCTGCCCCCGTGCAGGGCCCACCAAGTGCCTGTGATTGGGGCTCCTGTGCATCCCGCCTGGGCAGGGTCCTCGGCTTACTCCTCCGTTTATAAGCACTCATCTCTGCCAGAATCCTCAGCAATCCTTGGTGTGGCATGAGGCATCCAGGGCCCTTTGCCAGGCATGGAGCACTGTGAACTGCAGGAGGACCAGAGCTCAGCTCCTCTGCTCCTCAGTGCCTGAGCCTGGAACAGAAGCCAGCAGATGGGTCCTTCCAAGCCTCCTATAGGGCTTGGTGCACAATTCCCACAGGCATGGGTTCTGGCCGGCTCTCCTCAGAGAAAAGCACCCCTTTGGGCAGACTGGGTTAGCTAGTTAGCGCTAGCCGGTTAGCTCTAGCCATGTCCTTTCTGTAGGGCAGGGACAGTGTGATCTAAGATGGGGCAGCATAAGGCCAGGCTGTTGGCGCCACCAGGACACAGCACCAAGGAGGCAGGTTGGTTACGGCAGGGTGTGCGGCACCTGAGAGTCACGTGATGATCACAAGCCCCAGCCCCCAGTGACTGTTCCCAGTCGTGACTCCCAGAAACCAGGTTTCAGATGTTAGTGAATGAGAATTCTTCATCAGTACACCACACCTGGGTCTGGTAAAGTCAGAGCTGCCGCGGAGAGGAAGCTGTGAGGAACGGTGTACTCCGCCTGTACCCCATTCCCTGGTACCTCTGTTTCCCTCCCACTGTGTTCTCTGCTTCCTTCTCCACTACTCCAGGGCAGACACCGTCCTCTCCTTTACTTCTCTCTTTAGTCACTGAACGAAATAGACTATTCAGGAAGGAACTCCCATGTGTTAAAAGACACAGAAAGTCCTAGAAAAATTAAAAGTTGGGAGTAGTTATCAACTCAGAGACAACCATGGGATCCCCTCCCTAGTGATCACTGCTTTGGGCAGCTTCACACACCGCGACTCTACATCCTGCTTCACCTCCGCTTGGGTCCTGCTCATCTCTCCACACGAACCAGTGGCCTCTTGTTCACCAAAAGTGCTCACAACTTGCCTTCTGCCTGATCCAGTTCTGACTCCTGTGCAACCGGACCCTGCTGAGGAGTTGGGCCGGTTGTTGTGGGGAGAAGATGAGCTCCCAGTCATACATGGGTGGACTAAAGGCCGCTGGTCACTGTCACCAGCATAGGTCTGAAATCCCATTCTCAGGGCAGGAGGTAGTTGCATGGACAGAGGGAACATCAGGCTCAGCCTCCTCCACTCTGGGATTCTCCAGGGGTTATGTGGAGCCCAGGCTGGTTTATGTCATCTGCCTGAAGGGTCCTGTGTTGTCTATACACACTCAGTATTTAAAAAAAAAAAAAAAAAAAAAAGATACTCCCAACAATCCCAGACTGCACTAGGAACAAGAGAAAACCTTAGTTCCCTCCCCCACCTTCCCAGATATTTGCAGATATTCCAAGACCAGCTTTGATCTCCGGGATTATAGACTCTACATGACTCCCATAGACGGGGATTGAGGGGGAAAGGGTGTGGGGCCCAAACCATGTTTTCCCTGAAGAGGCACCGAGGGACATGATAGTGTACAAATGGATACTGCAGCCTCAGGTATCTGCTTTGGTAGGGAGATGAGCACAAAGGTGACAAGTGGGGACCATTTGTACAGCCTGGACGCAGAGGTAGTCCTGGAGAGCATGGCTCATTGGCCCCAGTCAGAGCTGCAGAGTGAGTGGACAGCCGCAAATGTGACTTGATCATAACAGCCTTGGTGACAAGATGGGGTCAGAAGACATGAAAGACAGAGTTTGGTCCAGCACCTCAAAGGCTGGAACCACAGGTGAAATCTGTAGCCGTGTGTTCATCAGATCGATGCTCAGGGTATTTCTTCCCATTTATCCTCAGGGACAGGTCCCTATCAGAGGCTGTCACTCTGAGTTTCCTAGAGAGAGGGAAGGACATTCCTACAGAATGTCATCCTTAGTCCTGGGTCAGCACAAACATACTGGGATCCCACACCAGGCCCTGAACTCACCGTAGCTGAAGTCAGCATATCCTCACCCTGAGCAAGTATCACCTCTCCCTAAGCTCAAAGTGGCCACCTCAAAAACACAACATGCCCCCAACCCTCCCCAGGTGGCCAGTGTTTGGCAAACAATGGTGAACCTTACTTAGCCTATGATGAGGAGATGTGGCATCTAAACGCATTTGTCCCTTTCCCTCCCTCCCATAGCATCTCTGGCATGGCTTTGGGGACCCTTATGTCTCCTTCAATATGTTATCCATACATAGTCACACCATGGAATGTGATATACTCCCCATTCTGCAGATGAAGAAACTAAGGCTTGGCCAAGTTGAGTGGTGATGGCTGTTGTCATGGCACCAGCCAGGTGGGCCCTCTCCCCCCAGTACCAGCTGTCAGATTGGCATCCAAGAACAGTGTCCTATGTGGTATGGTCAAAAGTGGCAGCCTTAACACATTCCAGGATGGAACCGTCTAGCATGTCCAATGCCAGCAGCTTCTTGCAGTCACAGTTGAAGCAGACACCTATCTTATTTCAGAATGACAAGGCCCTGTGGGGAAGCTAAGGAGGCCAGGGCTCCTAGGAATGGTCCAGGCCACACTAGGCAGGGGGCTTTGCAGCCAATACAGTGTGAGCAGGGAACTGTCTTTAGTGTTCAGTCTCCATAGGGATGGGAACCACACCTGTGAAGATCATTGGCTGGGATGTGAAATGCCTCTCCCTGCCCCGTAAGGCGGTCAGGAGAGAAGCCCAGATTGTATCCACCCTTAGAGCCACCACAGGCATGGGGGCACCCTGGCTGGTGACGCTGACCCTCCCACTCAGGCAAGGGCCTCTCTGTCTTCTTCCCCCACCTCGCCCCTATATGAAACCTTTGTTATTTCTGATCTCTAGAGTAGACACAGGGTGACTTCTGTCTGAGCCCTCTCACCCTTCCATGGCCATGGAGGTTCATACCCGAAAGGTACCGGCCACAGGGAGGATGTGCAGCAGGTCAGGGTGGTGGGCCTCTGTGAGTGCAGAGTCTGCCACTCTGGGCAGCATCCAAGGGAATGAGTGGACCAGTTATAACCCTACCAGCTTTGAAAATGCCCTCTCCTATTGGCTCTACTGGGCCGGGGCAAAGAGGCAAGAAGAGGGAGGGTGGCTGAAGCTGTTCAGAGGAAAAGCAGCCAACTTCGTGACGCACTTACGCCCCCCATGGCTGGTGAGATGTGTCTTACACTTGCTCTCCCCTCAGCCCCTCCAAGGGAGCCTTCAGAACAGGGTGCTACCTCCCCATAGTTGCTCTAAGGGATACCAGAGCCAACGTTTGGCATGCCTGCTAAGTTCCCGGGTGGTGGTGATGCCACTGACTGGCAACTGCATCAAACCACAGTGTGGACCACACAGGGACACCGCTACCTTCCTTCAGACGTCAGAGTCCAAAAGGGTCAAAAGCCATCTGGCCTGAGTCACACATAGAGCTGCTGGAGACTGTGCCTGCTGGGTGTTTGAGGCCAACCACTCCGTGGTTTATAAGCAGCCATGCACGTGCCTCTTGACAGAGCATGCCTGGCACTCCTGACTATGCCTAGATGCCTGGACCTTCTTCCTGGAAGAGGAGCCCTTACACTGCCAGATCCCACCTTCTGTGTGGCTCGGGGTGGCCCTGCTCTGTCCTGGTCACTCTAGCATGTCTAGCTGGACATCAAGCCTCCCTTATGCTTCCCGTCCTGCTTGTATACCTGTGAAACCTGCTCCTACCCTATGCCAGTGCTGACAGAAATTCCAGGAAGCCCGTTGTTAGGAATCCAGATGGGCTCCTGCATCTAGCTGACCCATGGACGAGAGACACCAGCTACTTTACAAAGACAGGAGTTGCCGTAACCTACTGCTTACTCCAGATGTGAGATGCGCCTCTCCACTGACCTCAGTGTAAGCTCCGTGCCGTGTGCTACCAGACTTGGTAATAAAGGACTTGCAGCAGAATGCCTTCTGCTGATCTGGCATTGCAAGGAGACCCCAGGTTCTCTGTTCACCAAATGCACTGCGTCCCCCACTGAAGTTTCTGATTTCTGTACAGTGCCTACTGACCACAGCCATCAGGAGCTTTTGATCCCCTCATTCATCATCTCACAATTTGTCTGGAAGGATCTCTTCTGTGCACGAGTGTCATTAATCTGACACTCTGGACCGCTACCAAGGGCTGAGCTGAAACAAGTGTGTTTTGGTTACGGCTTCCTGTCCACAATCAGTGATTATGCTGTATTCCCCTGCCTCCTGCCACCTTCATGAGCTGGCACTGAATCTGCCCCCCTCCTGTGGCAGTACTCCAGAGGCTGAGCAGAGAAAACTGAAAGTCTGAGGCCAGGCTTGGCTACTTAGTGAGTTCCAAGCTACCGTGGGCTAGTGTCACTGTCTCTGTTTAAAAAAATAATAATGAAGACATGTGAGCTGACTCCCCACATCAAAGCTCTTGCTGCATACACCCGATGACCTGAGTTGGACCCCAGAATCCACTGTGAAAGGAGAGAACCCAAGTCTGCCTCCTGCTCCACATACACACCATGACCCACAGGTACCTACTGCTGACCTCTCTCTCTCTCTCTCTCTCTCTCTCACACACACACACACACACACACACAACACACACACAACACACACACACACGAGAGGGAAGGAGGGAGGACGGCATGGGGGAGGAGGGAATGAAACAGGCCAGGTCTGGTAGAACATATCCTTTAACTCCAGCACCCAGGAGCCAGAGGCAGATAGATCTCTCCAAGTTTGTGTCCAGAGTGGTCTACATAGTGAGCTCTAGGCAAGCCAGGGATATATAATAAGACCCTGTCTTAAAAAATAAAAATAATAAAATTAAAAAATTAATAAAAACAAAACAGGCGCCAGTGAGATGCCTCAGTGGGTAGAGGCACGTACTGCTATGCTGATGGCCTTAGTTCAGTCCTTAGAACTCACACGGGAGGAGCAA